CTCCAGGCAAAGCTTGGGAGAAAAACAACCTTCAACCTCTACATCCTCTTCAGGCACCAGACTGAGAGGAAAATACCTTCCACCACTACATCCTTTCCAAGCAAAGCCTGAGAGGGAAAGGATCTTCCAACACTACATCCTCTCCATGTAGCAGCCTGAGAAAGAAGGACCTTCCACCACCCACTACATCCTCTCCATGAGAAAGGACCTTCCACCACTAGATCCTCTCCATGTAGCAGCCTGAAAGGGAAATGACCTTCCACAATGCAGCAGCCTGAAAGGGAAAGGACCTTCCACTACTACATCCTCTCCAGGAACCAGACTGAGAGGGAAAGGACCTTCCCCCACTACATACTCTGCAGGCATCATCCTGAGAAGGAAAGGACATTCTACCACTACATCTTTTCCAGTCAGCAGCCTGAGAAGGAGAGGGCCTTCCACCATTGCTTCCTCCCCAGACAAAGCCTGGAAGAGAATGAACCTTCCTAGAAGGTCTCTCCAAATATTTATACTCTACCCCTGTCCATATGACTGGCATAAATCCCTCAGTGTTTGACCAGGGTAGAATAAATATTCATAACCCAATACATTGTATCTTCTACCACTGTCTCCTGGAGAACACTCCCGGGAATCAGGCACGAGCAAACAATGTCCTTGGGCTTGGGAGAAACCAAACAATTCCAGATTACATAAACAAAGCTCCGGCTGGCTGCAGCCTTCCTGCAAATAGTAAATTTAGACTACAAATACTCCAGCTGAAGGCAGGGTCCCTACAGCTATACATATCATTTTCTAAAACTCTAACTCAGGTTTGTCCCCACTCTCCTTTGCCTATTGGCGACTGCTGGTTCTGTATCCAGTGCACAGTCATTAGACATGTGCACTGCCAAAAAATTCGTTTAGTTTCGTTTCGTTTTAAATTCGGATTTGTGTTATTTCGTTTTTCAGGATTCGGGTGTGAAAGTCAATTCGGATTCGGAATTCGGACGGAATTCGGTAGCGTTAGTACGAACGTTCGTTTCGTTTTCTGTTCTTATTCGTTCGTTTGCAGCAAAAGTGACATTTGAGGGGGAAAAAAATATTTTTCTCCTTCTCTAATGTCACTTTGCTCCAACGAACTAAACGAATAAGAAACGAATAAGAAACAAATAAGAACAGAAAACGAGACGAACGTTCGTACTAACGCTACCGAATTTCAGAAATGGAAATTCGGATTCGTTTGCATTCGTTATGTCTGTAATTCGGAAACATCCGAATGTCCGAATTTCCGAAAATTCGTCCGAATTTCGATTCGGAACAAAACGAATCGCACATGTCTAACAGTCATGATGGAGTTACACGGCCCTGACACTGGGCGCCATTCTAGACATTTTACCGATAGCCATCGTGGGATGGGAGTGCACATGCAGGCAGTATACACTAGAAAAATAATTGCTAGGAGGAAGAGGAAAAAGATTTTTGGGAAGAAGAGATGTGCAAAGTCTCTTCTGTCCAAATAAACGACCTCTTAGCAATTCTCTGCTTCAATGCCCTGAGCATCATATACAATTGTCATGTTTTTTTTCTATTAGAAAATACTTATTTCTAACTTTTTTCCATCATTTCTTACATCTCAGCGCTGCCGATCTTCTGCAGCCTCTTTTCATTCACTAGATCAGCTTCTGACCTCCGTGCCATAGCAGGACACATACACGATGTGGAGGCTAGCAGGAGAAACCACTGATCACTTGTGGGCACGGGAGTCTAACACTCTAGGAAGTGTTGGCTTCCTGTGGTATCCCGTCAACAAAGCGGCGCTCTGGCAGCAGGAAAGGTAAGTTCTGACTTGCTTCATGTCCAGGTATTCCTGTTTACAGTTATGTGTGGTAATGACTAGGTATCTTTTACATGTTTGGCCAGTCTTGTGATTCACTCCACTCTCTCTGGGTTCATCAATGCAGCTTCCAACAATCTTCTTACGCCTTCATGTCATAAGTCCTGGTTCTGCTCTTGCCCACATTGGGGGTTCCCAACTATCTGGAGTCTTCTTAGTCCTCTGTGTCATAGGTCCTGGCTCTGCTCTGAGCTATCTTGGAGTTTTGGGGGTTCCTGCTCATCTTGGGGTCTTGGTACTTCACTGTGACATAGGTCCTGTTGCTACTTTCACCTATTTGAACGCTTTGGGGGTTCCTGCCCATCTGGAGGATGTAAAACTTCTCTGTGCCATAGATTCTGTCTCTGCTCTCGCACATCTGGGGATTTGGGGGATTTCTGCCCATCCAACTCCTCTGTAGTATAGATTGTGCCCCTGCTGTCACCCATCTTGAAGTTTTGTGGGTTCCTGCCCGTCTTCTTATGCCTCCATGTCATAGGTCTTGTCTCTTCATTCACCCATCTTGGGCTCCAACCTGTTGTAAAGACCTTCTTTCTTCTCTGCACCGTAGACCCTGGATCAGTTCTCACCCATCCTGGAGTTTTGAGGGCTCCTACCCATTTGAGGGTCTTGTCACTTATGTATGTTATAGTTTCTGGCTCTGCTCTATCATTATTATTATTATAATACAGGATTTATATAGCGCCAACAGTTTGCGCAGCACTTTACAATATAAGGAAGACATTACAATCACAATACAATTCAAGACAATATGGTAAGGAGGGCCCTGCCCATGAGAGCTTACCATCTAAAAGGGAGGGGCCAGTGATACATGAGGAGGTAGCTGCATGGGGATGAATTGTCTGAGAACGTGATGGTTCAGTGGTTAGGTTGAGGTGGGATAGGCTTCCCTGAAGAGATGAGTCTTTATGCTCTTACCCATAGTGGAATTTTGAGTGATCCTGCCTTTCTTCTTGTCTTTTCACTCCATCTAAAATGTCCTCCATGATCGAAAATATAACTACATTTAATCAGGGAGACTGGGAACCCTTATATTGGCCTCCGCAGGTGCGTAGAATTGGGAAATCAAGCGCACTGACCACCTTACTGGAGTTTGTGAGAGATATAAGAGCACAGTATGTGGCTTTATTCTCTGGTATCTAAATGCTGAAATATCAGAACTTGGCTGAACTTACTTTTTAATTAGTGGGCCACAGTTAGTGGCAAGCCAACACGTGCGCAAGCTAATCATCGCCGATTGGCAAATGCCAGCCGGCAAGCTGTACTCTCAGCTTTACCCTGCAAGACGGGACAAAGTATCGACCAAGAAAACAGCTTGGCTATCTAATTGCATTATATTTTTATTAATAGAATGGTGCGGTGTTAAAACCTCCTCCAGATTATATTCACTAATTTGGGGGATTTCTGCCCATCCAACTCCTCTGTAGTATAGATTGTGCCCCTGCTGTCACCCATCTTGAAGTTTTGTGGGTTCCTGCCCGTCTTCTTATGCCTCCATGTCATAGGTCTTGTCTCTTCATTCACCCATCTTGGGCTCCAACCTGTTGTAAAGACCTTCTTTCTTCTCTGCACCGTAGACCCTGGATCAGTTCTCACCCATCCTGGAGTTTTGAGGGCTCCTACCCATTTGAGGGTCTTGTCACTTATGTATGTTATAGTTTCTGGCTCTGCTCTATCATTATTATTATTATAATACAGGATTTATATAGCGCCAACAGTTTGCGCAGCACTTTACAATATAAGGAAGACATTACAATCACAATACAATTCAAGACAATATGGTAAGGAGGGCCCTGCCCATGAGAGCTTACCATCTAAAAGGGAGGGGCCAGTGATACATGAGGAGGTAGCTGCATGGGGATGAATTGTCTGAGAACGTGATGGTTCAGTGGTTAGGTTGAGGTGGGATAGGCTTCCCTGAAGAGATGAGTCTTTATGCTCTTACCCATAGTGGAATTTTGAGTGATCCTGCCTTTCTTCTTGTCTTTTCACTCCATCTAAAATGTCCTCCATGATCGAAAATATAACTACATTTAATCAGGGAGACTGGGAACCCTTATATTGGCCTCCGCAGGTGCGTAGAATTGGGAAATCAAGCGCACTGACCACCTTACTGGAGTTTGTGAGAGATATAAGAGCACAGTATGTGGCTTTATTCTCTGGTATCTAAATGCTGAAATATCAGAACTTGGCTGAACTTACTTTTTAATTAGTGGGCCACAGTTAGTGGCAAGCCAACACGTGCGCAAGCTAATCATCGCCGATTGGCAAATGCCAGCCGGCAAGCTGTACTCTCAGCTTTACCCTGCAAGACGGGACAAAGTATCGACCAAGAAAACAGCTTGGCTATCTAATTGCATTATATTTTTATTAATAGAATGGTGCGGTGTTAAAACCTCCTCCAGATTATATTCACT